AACTATTTATAGTTTAAGGGCCTGGTTAGAAATATTGCCTTAGACTAGGGATAGCTAAGAGCTTGTATAAAAATGATTTGGCCTTAGATTAAGAATAATTTAAGAGCACTGATGAAATATTTAATATTGAATATATCATGAAATGACTTAAAATAAAATATTGTGAATATCATGAATAATGTATGCTTGAAATATGTATTGTGTGCATGATATCAAATGGTTAATTATGAATTGAGATTCAATTTATATGGATGTTCGATGCATTAGATATGCTTACTCAGCTTCAACGCTGAGCGTGTAGTATGTTTTATTTGCTACACGCAGGTAAACAGAAAGATTAATGTGATCCTGGCGGCAGATGAGGCGAGATTGTCGGGATGGATGTGACAAGTTTTGAAATGATTTATGATATGTCAATATTAAATTCGCTTCCGCAATATTGTTAAATACTCCGTACTGTATATGTTATGAAAAATATTATTGAGATTAATAAAGTGTGTTTGAAAAGTTTTAAATTTTACGATTACCAAGTTAAATACTTTAGTCCGAATGGGGCTGCAGACCTGGATGGATTAGGGTGTTACAATCCTCGTTCAATCGATTCCAATATTATCATAAAATATAAATAAATCACAATTCAATTATAACAAATAAACCACGTAATCAATCATACGAAAATACGAACGTGAATTTCAAATCTATATGCATAATCTAGCGTTAGATATGCAAGTTCTGACCTCGATTAACAGACGGATTAAATTAATCAATCAAATCAAACGAACGAAACATCGGCAAACGGTGACTTGACCACGGAGCAGCGGCGTCGGTGTGCAGGTGGCCGCCGTCGATCGCGACGTGCTCCGGTTCCGTTCTGCGGCTGTGCTCTGATCTCCTCTCTCCAGAATCGTGCGCAGTACTTCCGTATATATAATGTCGCTAATGGGCTTAATAAGGTTTTTACTCCATATAGACTTAGGAATACAAATTAGGTATATTACTACATTAATAAAAATCTTTATATTTATTTATTGAACTGTAATGTCTATATTACTCACTATTCTTTACATGTATGTCCAAATTTAACAAACTACATACCGTTGGTAATTATTTTGCGAGATGTACTCGAAAACCTAATTTTCATTTAAAACGGATAACTTTACAAATAGTTCATATTTTTGAGTAAATGAATATCATATTTATTTTTAAATAAAATAACGGCTAACTACTAAGCCGGTTTTCCGGTCGTTACATAGAGTAACGGAAGAGAATGTAGTGTCAGGGAATTTCAACTTCTGAATGTAAATCTTGAGTGTGATTTCAGCACTCCCAATTTATGTACTCACTTAAGGCAGACATTGTTTTACACAATATTAAATAAAGAAATTCTATCACTATTTTGAATGGTATATTTGCTTTGGGAAGTTGGCGTCCTGACAACCTTTACCTTTCAGCATTTCCTCATTCATTTGACTCAATTTAATCTTTTTGCACAACTTCCTAACCTCTGTAATATGGATGTCTATTACTGTTAAATATAGTCCTTCTATATTTAATATATTCTGTATATATTATTATATTGTGTATATTCTAGTTACCATTCATGTCTATGTTTCCTTATATTGTATTTCCTAATATACCTAGGATTCTCCTAGTATATATTCACTTGTAATATCACATTGTCAACCATTGGAAATAATAAATCTTTCAATGTTAAATATAGTCCTTCTATATTTAATATATTCTGTATATATTATTATATTGTGTATATTCTAGTTACCATTCATGTCTATGTTTCCTTATATTGTATTTCCTAATATACCTAGGATTCTCCTAGTATATATTCACTTGTAATATCACATTGTCAACCATTGGAAATAATAAGTATTTCAGTTACAAAATTTAAGCACATTCATCCTCCATGCACATTACATATCAGAAACATAATTTTTGTATTCATTTACTCCAACTTTATGACAGATCCCACCAATGGATGTCGAACAACCTCTCTTAGATGTTACTCCTAGTTCCAGATTGTGGAGTTGCAAAATTATTGTGATAGAGAAGCTGAATACAAGACATGCACGTGGGGATCCTGAAAAAATATACAAATCCGTGATCATGCAAGATAGGGAGGTATAAGTCTTTACCAAACACCAATAGCCAATATAAATCGAATAACATAATTGTGCATTCCGTATAACACTCCTTATAACTTGCAGGGACACAAAGTAAAAGGCATGATTTATGGAATAGATATTCCTTTCATTGACAATCGCCTTGATTTGAACAAAACATATATCATATCAAATGCTAGGGTGACTCCCGTCATGGAAAGATACTCTGTTCCCGATGAACAATATAGATACACTTGGACACTGAATAGGAGAACATTGATTACCGATGTCAGTCCGGATCAGCAGCTCTTTATCCAACCAAACTTGGAGGCATCTATTGACCCATTTCACACCTTTTATACGGCTATGCTAAACAAATCAAGCCTAAGTAAGTGACTAATATATATAAAAACTTCCTTCGTTTATGTTCTTTTCCCTTATCTGTGCATAATGTTTAATTCATTACCAACAGATGTGCTAGCAACTGTAATTGCTAAACTACCAAGGCAGTTTGTTTTCACTTCAAAGCGGCGACAAAGAACAAGCGATCTTGTTCTCATGGACCAGGAGTGTGCCACTACACCTATTACTTAACAATGTATACTTAAGACGAAATTAAATATCGTCACTTTCCCAATTGCAGATTTAGGCCGATCATCTTAAGAATGTGGGACGATTTCGCAACACTTCAGGGAATTTATATCCAAGAGTTACTGGATGCAAACACATACCCAATTATCTTCGCAAGGAGGATACTAGCCACCTCTTTCCAAGGTCAGAATCTAACATTCTACAACACCCAAATTATTATAAACATAATTAGCACAAATTACATTTAAATCTTTTTCCCATTTACAACATACAGGCCTGTGACTGACAACTCGTTACGATACATCAATCGAGGTCCACTCAACAATCTCACCGACAGTTGCTCTAAAAGAATGGTAAGCATATTTACTGTGCACTATTCTATACTTCTTTCCAACCAATATTTTTCATATTGAACAAACACATTATAGGACATCATTAAATCTTGATGCTGTCAAGAACGCCATTCAGTCGGAACATTACAAGGACACTTTAAGTATCTTTGTGGCTCCGGAAGACATTCAGAAAACAGCAATCTCGGCTGTGCTAGATTCATACAAAGAGGTTCATATACTCGTGCTAACATTATTCACACCGTAGACGTTCATGACATCGTTAATTTTCATTTCATTCAAAAATAGATAAACCGCTCTTAAATTGACTTCATACAACAACTCTTAAATAAAGATCAACATCACAGATTCATAGTTACCTAAGCTTTTCGTAATAATATCTCTAACAAATACAGGTTCTGAATAAGTAAAAATAATTTCTTTTGTGAACTTCTACAGCTTTATAATCTGCTTCATGTGCGACTACTCTTTTACAGCCCTGAGTTAAGAAATTAGTCCAGTATTTATAAGTCTTCATAGTAAATGGAGCACCTAATAAGCTACCAAATGAATCATTACATACTCGAACCAAATATTTCTATAAAAAGGATTCTGATTTTTTAAAAATCTTCCACGATCAAGAAAATTGGTTGAACCCCGCGAATCAACCGCATATTCTTGGACTATTTTTCCTTCTACAACTTCTAAAACCTCTGCCTAATGAATCACCTTAATTAAAATTGTACTTTTTTTCATAGATGAGTCCAAGAATCATTTATTTTGTGGACTTCTAAAGTAAAAAACACATTAAAATGCTCTTCACATTGCAGTTCTTCATATTCAATTTCCTTTTTTTCTTGCTATACACTTTAACTGCTATCATGTCCCAAACTGCCATTTCCTATTAATACCATCCCTCATGTATCCAGGACGAAACATACAGGATAGAGGGCCAACTACAACTTCAAGAGCATGGACCAATTCCTTACTACATCGGATGCAGTACTTGTAACCGCAAGGTTGAATTTCATGAAGGAACTACCCACAACTGTGCGGAAACAAGGAATCAACAACTGCAAAAAGGTCTATACTCGTATCATCTACAATATTCATAACACTTTCACTTGTTACTCGAGTCTAACATAATAACAAAAATATACAGATTCAGAATCTCTGCTGACCTCGGCGATGAGGAAAACAAAATAGAGCTCACTCTATTCACAGAAAATCTGAAAAAAATTGCACGATCACTGGAGCTGAACAAAGGTCTGAGATCACTACTCATCACAGCTGCTGTGGAGTTACAGAGATCCACATACCAAAGAGGAGATATAATGTTTTCTTTATTATGCCTACATCAGCTTTCTGACAAACACACAAAGACTGCACATCTAAAGAGAAAAGAAATACCTGCAAGCCAAGATCAGTAAAACATCTGGAGGAGAAAAAAAATAAGTACAATTTCAAAGCAATGTCCTCCAGTAATGAAACTACATACTAGCCTTAGTGAAAATGACATCTAACCACTATGCAGGTCATTTTCACATTTTGTTAGGTCAGATTTTTCCTTAAGTTAAAAAGCTTTATATCTGAAGTGCATGTAAGATATATGTAATGCTATGTTATTATAACTGTTATGTTAACACGGTGTATCACTGTAATCCTTACCCTTTCTGTAGACTTAAGGAGATGTAATATATATATATATATATAGACACACACACACACACACACACATACATATATACATATACACACACACAGATATATATATATATATATATATATATATATATATATATATATATATATATATATATATATATAATGTTGCTGTTACTGTTATGTCAAATACAATTTATATATAACTATAATCTTTACCCCTTTTGTGATATAGTATACTTGTTCTTAGCTCCTACTATGTTCATGGGAACCTTCTATGCCTCTGTTGCGTTTGGATATTTAAACATTCTTAAACATTCTTGGGCAAACACACACGTAGTGTGTGCCCTGCTAGTTCTATTATATTCATATTAAATGTTTTTTTTCCAGTTTTTTTCACTTACCTTTTCAATTGGGGTCCATAATTTTTGTAATTGAGGTCCCAAGATATATAAATGCTTTAAAATATATAGGGGTACACCAAAGGTAGGGGTCCCAAGATATGCTATAAATATTAGGGGTACACCGAAGGTGTACCCCAAATGTCCCTCACCCCCTTCTTGTCCACAAAAAAAAGCAAGAAAATTCAAAAAAATAAGTAAATAAAAATCAAATAAAAATGAATAGTTATGGAGGGGGTGGGGGACATTTGAGGTACATCTTTGGTGTACCCCTAGAATCTTCCATACCTTAAAAGGCAAAAAATGATAGGGGGTCATGCCCCCAACTACCTTAAGGTACATCCGACACTGATCATCGGTGCACCTATAGCCTTAGGAATTATTGTTGAGTAAAAGAATTTACGTAACTCGAATAAATTTAGTACCATTTCATCCAAGATTATTCTTGACAATTCAAAAAAGAAAACATGTTCCAGTAGATCTATGTCTTGTAATGAGTATTAACAAAAGTGACACTCAAACATTGTCATTTTTAAATCATTTTTAACCATGTTGATATTCACTTTCGGTTACTTTTATGTTACAGTTTCATGAGTGAGCGCAAGACATGATTAAAAAATATTAGTTTTAGATGACTTTAGGAGCTAGAGCAACTCTATTGAAAATGTTGTGTTTGTCAAAATCTTAAAAAAAATAGATAATTTTTTGTCATGTATGTTCACTTTCAAATTTGTATATTACTCCCTCCGTCCCAGAGTATTTGTCTATTTTCATTTTTACACACCATCCAATGCACTTCTTTAATCCATTTTATCTTGTAATTTGTATATTAAAAAATTATAGAAATTATATATTAATAATCTATATGTTAAGACAAATCAAACAAGATCACCATAGTTTTTTCATCTAAGTTATATCGAGATGGAGATGAGTACTTATATGAAGAAGAGGTTGAAAATGTCAAAGCACCATAGTTTTTTTTGGAATTTAAAAGTGATTTGGGTGTTGGAACTTCCTCACGTAGTCGGCCGAGGTATCTCAGGGATGGAAGTGATACTTTTGCAACAAAAATATTCATTACTAAATGTTAGAATCAAAACACTTATTCAACTTTTGATAGTCATGTTTGTAATTTATAGATTGTATTAGAAAGTATGTGGTTTAATCCTTTGATATAATTACAGTAGAAAAAGATACAGAATAAAAAAACTTTTATCTCACTTTGTACGTGACCAGAGGTGGATCTACTAAGAAAGAATTGGGGGCCAATGCCCCCTACTAGTATTTGGTGTTAAACTATATCTTTTGTTCGTTTTTTTAATTTTTTTATACTTTTGGGTGCATGCCCCCATCCGAATAAGGGTTGACTTCATCTAAAATTATTTATTCCCTCTATCTCATTTTAAATTGTTTGTTTGCATTTTTTTTCTATTCCAAAATAAGTTCTCTGTTACTTATTATCGTAAATTTTTATGAGTAAATACCTAAACTACCCCTAAAATAAGTCACTCTTCTCCACTTTATCTTCTCATTCATCGTCACCCTTCCTAAAAAGTAATGACAATTTCTGAAAATCAACTCAATTTTTTATTTTCCTTAAATATGCCCAAAAGTCAAAACAGACGATTTAAAACGGGACAGATGGAGTAAAAATTAATGGAACCTTATCTAATTGAGCTAGTTGTTACTTTTTTGTTTAATTTTATTAAAGTAAGATACTCCCTCCGTCCTATAATGATCTTCCCGGTTCGCAAAACGAAGAAAAATCCCATGTTTTTTCAATCTATTTTATTTAAATATTGGTATAGAAATAAAAAATAAAACATACATATTTAAAAACTACACCAAAAGTTCAACAAAACAAGTGGTGACAAGAATATTTTATTTTATCATATAGGTCATGAAAAAAAACAAATAAATATAAATTCTCGTGAAGTTGGAATAGTGCTCTGGGAAGATCATTATAGGACGGAGGGAGTATATTTTATTGCATATACTCCGTAATTTATTGTTTGTAATTAAAAAAATTACCTATTGAAAAATATTTTACATTCAATAAATAATTAAAAAAATTCTACTGTATTTAAAAATTAAAAAACATCTAAGAGCGCTGCCCCGTGATCCCTGACCAATTGTGCCCCGATCTACTCGAATTTCTAGATCCGCCACTATACGTGACACAGGTTAAAGTGCCAGTGATTTAAAAAACGCAAGATTTTAGTTTATAATCCTTTAATATAATAAAGGAGACTCGGATTCATGGGAATGCGACATTTGGCATGCCTATTTGGCAAAAGTTGAACACGTCAGGAAGCCACGTAATAATAGTAAAATTAAAAGAAAATTTGCTACGGACTGCACGAGCGGAGTTCCCTATCCTTTAATCGGTTATTCCACTTGAACGTAGAAGTTTCTGCGATAGTTGCTGGTCTTCAAAAAAGGAATCACTGGCTTCAAAAAAATTCTGTCCTTCGATGTTTGCTGGCTGAAGATCTGCCGGTAATGTATGCTTATAACCCAAAAAAGGGATATATATATAAATATATGTTTTCTGATTACAACAATACGAACTCCTATTATGATAATAATATAAAATAATTAAAAATAAACATGAAAAAATATAAATACTATTTAAAAAAATATATAATATTTTTCATTTAATTTAAATAGAATTTTAGGACCATGCTACATATATTAATCCTTTATCTTACTTCCATATTTAAAAATTACATAATTAAATTAATAAGTTACAAAGGTTTATTATGAAATTCATGTAACATAAGAGTTAAAATCAATATAGTACCTATATTAATGGAAACTAGAATATTATTTTTTTTTACAAAAAAGGTTATTAAGAAATAATCATAAATAATACTAAATTTGAAAATGATGATCACAAGTACATTACTCATCACCTTACTTATATTATGTATGTTGGATAATACTAATATTATTTTGGATTCGTTTACTTATATATGGAAATCCTTCATTATGTGTCTTGGATAATCAATAATATTATATGTTAATATATATTTTCAGATTACAACAATACGGACTCCTATTACGAGGATAATATAAACAATTAAAAATAAATACGAAAAATATAAATACTATTTAAAAAATAAAAAAGAAATATATTCCTTTTCATTTAACTTAAATAGAATTTTATAACCATGCTACATATATTAATCCTTTATCTTACTTCCATATTTATAAATTTCATACTTAAATTAATAAGTAACAAAGATTTATTAATGGAAATTCGTGTATATATGTTGAAATCAATAGAGTACCTATACTAATATAAATTCCAAGGAATGTGAAACTCTCCTAAGTAACAAGGAATTCTCACCATAATAAAGTCCTTCCTAAAATACAAAAGGTAAGTAAATAATTAAATGTGAAACTCTTCTAATAGAGTCGTGCATTAGAATATGATTCATGCATAGCCATGAATGGTATGATATGATTTCCAAAAATAGATTATTTCCTTACCATATGGGGATTGACAAAATTTACGAAAAATATTATTAAGAAACAATCCTAAATAATACTAAATTTGGAAATTATGATCACGAGTATATTATTCATCACATTACTTATATTATGTATGTTGGGTAATATTAATATTATTTTTGTATCCATTTATTTATATATGGCAATCCTTTATTATGTATCTTGGATAATCAATAATTTTATTCTGGATTTGTCTTTTTAGTAAGGAATTCGTTATATCTAGGATGGACACAATATTATTTTGAATTTCTTACTTATATATCTAATTGGGAATGAGTTAAATTGCTCACTTTTATATCCAAATTTATAGAAACTCTTATATACTTGGGTCAAAAACCTATTATAAAAAGAGATATATAATGAGTTGAAATGTGCCACACCCACCAGCCATTTTCATTTTCCATTTCAATACATAGGCATTCAGAATCAATTATGCAATAAAGAAGCGGAGAATCGTTAATTCAACTTCAGCCTTTTGTTTTTAAAATGATTGGTGGTAGGAGCATCCTATTTTTCAATTTCAATTGGCCCTATGGAAAATCAAGTTGACGATACATGGATGAGATCAGCTAGAGATGCAAGAGAAAGGAGAAAAGGAATACTTCAACAAAAAAAAGGACAGAAAAGGTATGTACTTTAAATATTGTTTTATCTTAATATATTTAATTTTGTTTTATTGTTTTAAGGTAATTTGATACATAACATTTTAGAATTTTTTTAAAATAACAAAATCAAACGGGATATTTTAGTGACTAGAATTTTTGCATTTAAAATTTATATGGTTGCTTTTTAATGAGCATTAAAAAAATTTATTAAAAAATATCTAAATCGTTAGTATAGATAAATTAATTTATGTTAAATAAATAAAGTTTTATACAAAATTTAAAATTAGATGTCAATTTTAGAAGGATTTAACAAATTCTCCATGTGAGAGTGAACACTCCAAGAAAAGATTACATAAAAATATGTGTACTTTTTTAATTATAGTCATGTTATTTTATCAATTATAATCTGCATCCGTAAAAAGTTAAACGTCGTTCATATATTTAATAGAAATCATGGATAATTAAAATGTAAAATTGTTGATTTATCTAGGTATGCATATAGCTCACTGATTGTTTTTTATCAATTTTATATTTACATCAATAGGAATAAAAAGATGTCTAACCATGACTTTTTAATTTCATTTTTCTATATTTTTAATGAAAAACAATAGTCTATACATATAGAATATTTTAAACAACTGAATAGAGGAAGATTTACAAAGTTGAGTAAAAATATATGCATATTAAAAAAATTAAAAAAAAAATCAAAACATTGCAATAGATTTGATATGAAATGGGTAAATATAAAAAAAATGTGAGTACATTTTTTAAAATAAAAAGATATGCATGCGGGGAAAAAAAATTTAGACATTGATATGGAATAATCAATGTAAACAATTCAAAGTTCAAATATAATTTTTAAATTGGAAAATTTGCTTATATCTAACACGTAATTCATTTATCAAAATGGCAACTAAGTTGTGTTCAACTGAAATAATTGATACTCCACATATATATATATATATATATATATATATATATATATATATATATATATATATTCATAGTCAGAGGAATTAACCTAAATAATAGTAAAACATAATGACTTTCTCTAAATAGCAACATATGTTTTTTATTTCCCAATGTAGCACTTTTAGTTATTATCCATTAGTCATTATTTAGATAAATGTTCACATGATATTATTTCTCCTTCTAGACATTATTAAATGTTATTTAAGGGATAAAAAGTTTAAGTCTTATGTTGGGAAATAACTTATGTTTTAGTGCTATTTAGTGCAGATATTTATCATAGTTATTGTTTCTACATTTTATTTCACAGAAAAGACATTTGGTGAAAATATGTGCCTACAGGAACTGGAGAGTTATACTATTTGAGAATACTTTTAATGGTTCAACGAGGATGTAAAAGCAATCAGAGCTTGAGGACGGTTAACAATGTTATACATAACTCTTTCCAAGAAGCATGCGAAGCATTGAGGTTATTAGCCGATGATAAAGAATTTATTGAAGGAATAAAAGAGGCTGCTGAGCTAGGATCTGGAAATCAATTAAGAAAGTTGTTTGTCACGTTGTTAGTGACAAATACCATGAGCCGTCCTCAAGTTGTTTGGGAAAAAACATGGGAGCTCTTAGTTGATGGAATTTTATTTGATCGAAGAAGAATATTGTGTAATCAATGTATTTTTATAAAAACTTATTTTTTTATTATTTATATAAACATTAATATGAAATGAATGGTATCTATACAAAAACTCTAGAATTGACATATTTGTCGAAATAATTTAGTCTAATATTAACTTTTTTGCAGAACTTCTAATATTGAGATCGAAAAGTTACTTAATTCAAACGGATGGTCCTTAAAAAAGTTTGGTGGTAAGCCATTTCCAGATGACAACCCACTCAATAGATTTCAAAATAATTTCTTGGTAGAAGAGTTGAACTATGATAGAGAAAAATTGACATCTGATCTTGGACAATACTTATCTACCATGAACGAAGACAAGTAGAAGATATACGATGATATAATGGAAGTCATGGCAGCTGAAAAAGGAGGTTTCTTTTTTGTGTATGGTTACGGGGGAACCGGAAACACCTTCCTTTGGAAATCATTATCCGCTTCTCTTAGATCAAAAGGAAAGGTTGTTTTGAATGTTGCATCCAGTGGGATTGCAGCATTGTTATTGCCTAGTGGAAGGACTGCACACTCTAAATTCTCAATCCCATTGGCGCTAACTGAGTGCTCAACATGTGCCATTAAACAAGGGAGCCCGAAAGCTGAATTGATCCAACAAGCAAGTCTGATCATATGGGATGAAGCATGCATGATGAATAGATTTGCTTTTGAGGCTTTGGATCGCACAATGAGAGATATCATGGGTTTCTCTAATGGTAACTGCAGAAATGAACCAATTGGAGGGAAAACAGTTATACTCGGAGGTGACTTTCGGTAGATCCTTCAAGTCTTACCCAGAGCTTCGAGAGAGGAAACTGTAGGTGCTACGGTCAATTCATTGCATTTGTTGTCGCACTGTAAAGTTTATACGTTGACTAGGAATAAGAGACTGCATTCATCCATGTCTTCTTGCACATATAGAGACACACAAGCTTTTTCTGATTGGATAATCAAAATGGGTGATGGAAAACTAGGTCAGGTGATGGATAAAGTTGGTGATGTTGAGATGCCGCCTGAATTCTTAATTCTTGATACAAGTTCTCCTATGAAGAGTATAATGGACTTCACTTATCCAAATATATTAGCAAATATGGAAAATTGTTCTTTTTTGAGAATAAAGCACTATTGGCACCAACTCTCGAAGTAGTTGAAACGATAAATGAATTTGTTTTGTCCCTCATTCCTGGTGATGAAAAGGAGTATTTGAGTTCTGATTCTTCGTACCAAGCAGATGTAGGTGTTGATGGAGATTAGAAAACAGTTGAGTTTTTGAACGAAATCAAATGTTCGGGAATCCCAAACCATAAAATAGTCTTGAAAAAAGGGGAACCGATTATGCTATTGAGGAATATTGACCAAACATCTGCATTGTGTAATGGGACAAAATTAATCGTTCAAGAGCTGCAAAATAATGTTATCGGTGCAATTGTTGTTGTGGGATATCGAGTTGGGGAAAAAGTTTACATCCCTAGAATGAATTTGGTACCATTTGATCAAGGTCTACCCTTAAAGTTCCAAAGAAGACAATTCCTAATCGCCTTACATTTTTCTATGACTATCAACAAAAGTCAAGGTCAAACATTGTCATTTGTGGGATTATTTTTAGAAAAATGTTAGGGGTACACCAAATGTGTACCCCATTTGTCCCCCACCCCCTCCTTGTCCACAAAAAAAGGCAAGAAATTCAAAAAAAATAAGTAAATAAAAATAAAATAAAAATATGTGGTGGAGAAAGAGGTGGTGTACATTTGGGGTACACCTTTGGTGTACCCCTAACATTGCTCTTATTTTTAACCAAGTGAGTGTTCACACATGGTCAACTATATATTGTTGTTTCATGAGTGAAGACAAAGACAAGATTAAAGATATTAGTTCTAGATGACAATGGAAACCCTTGCAACCATACCAAAAATGTTGTATACCCTGAAGTATTTTAGAAAATTTGGTATTAAAATAAACATTGTTAACTCTACATTCCGTTCCTCAAATATTATTTATTTTACTTGGGCTTTTTTCATTTGTAGTATTAAAAATCATGTGACCAATATATTTTCTTTATTTCGAAAAATAAATTTCATTGAAATAATTCAGAATTGACATAAATTTCTTTTGACCCCGTGCATGGCACGGGTCAGAATACTAGTCCAAATATTATAATCTACTCCGGTATCCGTAATATGGAACGCAGTTTTTACTGGGCTTTATGGTCTCTTATTGGGTTTATGGGATTATGCCCATTCTCCCTGGACAAAATACTACGTACTTCATCCGTTCAAATTTACGTGTATTTTTGACTTAGCTTTCTCTTTTGGGTATGAGTGGAAAAACATATATACATGCATTGGGTAAGAAAACCCTTGTACTCGTATTACCAAACAGAAATTTTGCAGAATGGCAGCAATGTTAGAGTAAGAAGAATTTGAAATTAACTTAATGTATAAAGTTATCTTGTTTGCCTGTTTGGCACAATAACAACATCCACATAAGCACTCTTGTGCTGCCCATTCCTTTTGTCCTAAAAGGCTTCTTTCTTTACAGCTTGGATTCCATCATTCACAAATTAGCTCAACTACAAGAATGTAAAGCAATCTTCTTCTCAAGGGAATTCTTGTCAGCACCTATGACTTTGTCAACCTCAATTCCATTTTTTATAAAGATGAAAGTTGGTACACTGCCAATGTTCCACTTAGCAGCCACATCTCTGGCCTCATCAATGTCAACCTTCAAAAACACAACGTTTGGATACTTCCCGGCGCAGCTTGTATAAAGGGGTGACATGTAACGGCAAGGCCCACACCATGTTGCAGTGAAATATATTATTGCAACTCGCGATATTTTTGACGCAGCATTTAACTTCTTATTCAACTCCTCCTGACCATGAACTGCAATTACTTCACCTGATGTGACAGAAATTACAAGCAGAGAAACAACATTTCTAAGTCTTGCACAAGACCGCCTCAAAAATCCCAATCCATGACTCGGATCAGGGTCATGAAATAATGCATTCAAAGTAGGTTCAAAACAAAATGTATAATACTATAATAGTTTTAAGCACAAATGAAACGTTATGCTCTACATGAACAATAGTAACAGAGTTTACAGTAAAGGAGCAAGTGATGTCGTTTACACTAGGAAGTTTGAGGCTTTAAACATTACTGTCAAGGAACCGTAACAAATCCATGGCCTGAGCTAGGATCAGATACAAGGTATGAGAACATTGGCCTGGTTCCGTATGGGACCATAACAAATCCATTCCATGCACCATTAATCAAAGAATGTAACAAGAGGCCAGGTAGAACGGCTGGATGCTTAGCTTTAACAAAAGCTCAAGCTTGTGGTTGTGGCCCAGGAACAGTTATTTATATTCTAACACGCCCCCTCACGTGCAGGCGTAGTCTTTTTCGAGCCTTGCACGTGAAACATTAATTTTTTTTAAAACTGGGTGGCGCTGAGTTTCGAACCCGTGACCTCTTAGTCAACGAGGCTCCGATACCATGTCAAGGAACCAACTCAACGAAAAGCTCAAGCTTGTGGTTGTGGCCCAGGAACAGTTATTTATATTCTAACAATTACAAATACAACCAGATACTCCCTCCATAGTGATGTGATTTACACTAAGAGTTGTTTCAGACACTTTTTTATACTCAAAGAAAGTCACTTATCACCACCTCATGGTTGAAAACCAGTGTTGTCAGTCTACGAAAAAGCAACGGTGCATAACGGAGCAGCGCCTGGCTACTATCAGGTCCTCAGCAGCAGGGTGGCTGGGTCTTGCGGCCATATCTGGAACAGTGGCGTGGAAAACCGCAGCCATTGTGGGCTAGATTGCAGTGCAGCTTGGATTTGTTTTTTCTGCTCTACGATTTGGGGGCTTCGGTGGATAATTTTGGGTTTAAGGGTTTCTTTTTCAGGGTAATGTTGGCTTCTACACCAACGATAACCTACTCAGTGAAGTCCCACAAGTGGTGTCTGGGGGTTGCGGTTTACGCAGGGGTGTAAAACACCCTTAACAAGCCTTTTCTATTTTAAAAAACTTTTTTTATGTCATCGCTTCTCTCAAGCCTTGCAAACTCTTCGACATACCACCTCCCACCCTAGCAAATCTTCAACATCTAACCTCCCAAACCTTACAACCTAGGGTGACCCATCTCATTCGTTCTATGACATCCAACCATCCTAACCAAGTTGTGATAGAGTATGGATATTAAAAAAGGAAACACACAGTCTGATCTTCTAGCTTGTTTAAGCCCAACAGTGAGAATCTTGGTTCTAATTGGGAGTGGAACAACTTGAAATATTCAAAAGACAAGGCTGTTACCAATGATGTTTATGGCAAAATAATGATATGAGGAATTACCAAAGCCAAGATACACCAAATGAGGATAAGGAGAGAGCTTGCAGTAAACTCTATATGATATGACTCTTATTTAAAGAAACATGTAAGAGGAGATAAGGGGAAAAGATGCATACATGAAGGAGTTGCAAAAAGACCAAGATGAGATGGAAGAGGAAATGCTGAATATCCAAAGGGGGAAAAGGCTTTTAACACCATCAGGTGAGGTCCCTTTTCCTACCGTCAAACAAAAAAGTACTCCCAAAGAGCCCTTGGACGTGCTGTAGTTTAGGAAGTCAGAAAAATGCTTACATGAAAATAGTGTTGCTATTAATGCTGTAAAATCAAACTGTCTCAATATGATGGTTGAGACAATTGGAAATCATGGTCCTCATCTTAAGCCTCCAAGCTACAACAGTGTAGAATTACACCAATTAGCAAAAGAGATGGAATACAAAAAAGATTGTTGAAGAGTCATGAAGAAGAATATGCTATGTATGGCCGTATGAGTGTTCAAATGTGTCAGATGGCTGGACAGATGTAAAGAAATAGAACCTTAATAAGTTTTTTGGTTACTGATTTCTGATTTAACTTGTAATAGGAAAGCCGTTGCAAGTTCAGAGGATGGATTTATCTTGGACTCCATGGGCTGTCAACTTTGTAAACTTAATGGTTGAAAACATTGGGAAATTCGCTAGAATTAAACCCCAATACGAAAAGGTAAAAGCGTTGTTCATTTAATCAATGACCACAAAATAGCTTTGAAACAAGATGAGAAGTTCATAAACAAGATGGAATCTTTTAGGTGGGATTACAAGGTGATAGAGCCTGAGCCTCACATCTGGACGTAAGTGCATCAGGTCATGCCCATCTGTGTGGAATAAGGTCAAGGGTTGCGTGGGAGCGATCGTGGACTCCATAGTCACCCGCCCAGAGGAGGTTGTCCAAGGTCTCGAACGCCACCCTAGTACATGACCACCACCCTGTGAGGTCAGTACTCCTAGAGTTGTCTCAGATGGTGGGGGGCAGAGCCACGCATTCATGCCCCTTATGAAAGGGGAGAGGTCGGTACTCCCCTAGTCGTCTCACACAACCATGCCAGAGGTTGACCTATGCATCCATGCCCCTTATGAAGGGTGTCCACTGGTACTTTTAGCAAGGCCATGTGCACCCTTAGGCCTCTTACCCTCAGCTAAGATTCATGCACGAGGTACAACAGACACACTCTACGACAAACACAACACGGAGATGCTCTAGTCACCCATCAAGGATATCAGAAAAGCACTGAACAATGAGGAAAGCGATGCACAGCATCTCAAGACCAGATGAATAGGACAAACATCATGCGACAAAGAGATGTCAATGACAGGTCTCGCCTGTTGCTACAGTACATTTCTTTTTCTACTATAAATACCCCTCACTCCCTCATTGTAAGGGATCCAAGATTTGAGATCTCTAACAGTGTGTTGTGCTTTGTTCTATATTACTCTCTCACAATCTCTCTCTCTCTCTCTCTCTACTGACCTCCTTAGGTTGTACTTGGTGGTTTATTGACCATCACGAGGTTTACTACATCATACCTTGCCTTGCAAAGGATGCATTAGAAGATACCAAGTCTTGGAAGAATGTTCATTACAGATTAATGGAGAAACACGAATGTTGCTTAATATCCTAATCATAGTTATGAATGGCGAGTGGCGCGGCGTGTGGTGGGCACAAAACACACGGGCACGGGCACACACACACACACACATACATATGTATGTATCTATACATATAAACTTTTAGTTTTGTATTTTTGTTGATATTTATTTGTTTACATTTTTTATTTTCAGTATTCCAAATCTTTTTTTTAATTCGTATTACATAAATAAAATTTTGAAGTCATTTCGTACAATATATTCAATTATTAATGGAGTTTTTCGTTTTAGAATAACTAAGTGAACTATTATTCTAAAATAAATAATTCCATTAATAATTGAATATATTGTATAAATGACTATAAAATTTTGTTTATCTAATTAGAATTCCACAAAAAATGGAGTACTGCAAATAAAAAAACGTAAACAAATAAATATAAACAAAAATACAAAAATGAAAGTTTAATAAAAATCATAACTGAAACCTGACCATATATGCACAGGGGAAGCTTATAGCAAACGCCAAACATGATGGGGTTTTCTTTTTAAGATTAAAATGAAATCCGGGCCTGGTTGGGTTGGATTGGGTCAGGTAGGTTTAGGACAAATAGTCGATAACAATTGCAAGTTGCGATTAGAAGCTGGCAAAGGGAGCAGCTAATCGATAAATACAGCGACAAATCTGAAGGAACGGGTGGAAAAAATAAAATAAAATAGGCAGCAATTGGAAAGGAATGAGTTGCGATCGCCTAGTGCCATCGTTTTCATTGGAAATGGCGACCCCCATGGGCCATGGCAAGCCTTAAGCACATCGCCTCGCTTGACCAAATTCAAGCGCTGGAGGGTCGCCACAGCGCAATAATCGCCATAGCCGACCATGGCACTCACCTTTCATAACTATGATCCTAATGTGATGGAGGTAGTTGGCTTTGTTATTAATCATGCATTCTGAAATGATGTTGTTTACATTCTTAAGGTAATGTTAGCTAATCATGAGAAAATTCTGCATCAGTTACATTTATGAAAGAAGGGATATAGCCAAGGATAGAATTCAAAAAAAATAAGGAAATGAAAGAAGAGACAAAGTATTTGAGTCATTCACATAAAATGAGAAACTCAACTCCATTCATTGCATGCAGCTGCTCATTTTGTAAAGCCTTCATTTTACTACAACAATTCAGGAATGGATCCTGATCATGAAGTTATGCAAGGGCTTCATAAATGTTCTTGAAAGGCTTGGTGAAAATGAAGAAATTGAAGATACAATTTCACATGAGTTGACAGCCTATAAGAGGGAAGACCAGCAAACGGCCTCTTTGGGTTGACAGCAAGACAAAGGAACACAATCGCTTCTGGTAAGTGAAGTGCAAAACTGCATTTTTTATTAAGTATCTTGATCTTGACTACCATGATTGTAACAATGGTGAGACTAGCTCAACCGCGATGAGGGTCTGCGTGTGGATGTTGGGGGGGGGCGGGGGGACATATCCAAGTTTAAAGAACGATTCATTTCTCTCCTATTCTACTAGGAAAGGGTGTGCCTAAGCATGCAAGCATAAACAAAGCAGCAAATAGTGCACCAAAAAGCTACCTTAAGATATCAAATACATTTTTTTTCTTTTAACGTGTTGCAGTTACCCATGCTCACAAGTCATAAGCGTATAAAAAGGTAAGTCTCAAGCAAATTGGCTAGTTTAAAAAAATAGCAATTCAATGAGTGGCCACATACCATCCTTGAGAACAGAAGCAGATTCAGGGCCCTGCACCAATGTAAGAAAGAATATTACGAGAAATGGAAACTGGAAGACAAGACTAACCAACTTCTAACTCTCTCTTTTCCCTGGATACGTTTTTCCCTTGGTAGATTATTTATCTGTGCAAATAAAATAACTCCACTTCCAAGTTATGTCAAGACTATGGAACTGGTTTCATATAAGATCCAAATATTTGTTTGTATAGCCAACTTATTTGTTTGGGTAGTGGATTCTTCTTAGCCCCATATTTGTGCAAGATTGCTAAAATTTTGACAGATGCATTAAAACAGTGAGAATGAGAAGCAGATCTGAAATAGAAGCAAATTTATCATCTCTAGACTACTTCAACAGGAGCCGGGGGTCTCTTGGAAACAGCCTATCTACTTCTGAGTAGGGGCAAGGTCTGCGTACACACACCCTCCCCAGACCCTACTGTAGTGGGATTCAACTGGGTTGTTGTTGTAGACTACTTCAACTCATTCATAACCTTGTAGGCTTTAAAAAGGAGTGCTCAAAAAGTTTTGCCGGATACAACTGTAAATTCATTGTGATATGGGGTGAACGGGAATTCTTTAATCACTTTTCATATTTACTTACTGTATTTATTACAAAAAGGGGAATACAGAGGACATTGTAATCGACAGAACAAATGAATTTAAGCAAAAAATGTTAGTGTATGATGGGAACAAAACAATAGATAAGATATACGGAGTAAAAAATTAAAAAAAATGTAAAATAACAAGCATGCTTCAAAAAGTTCAAATAGTCCAAATGCAGAAGAAAGTAAACTAATGGCATGCCCAATGGAAGAATCATAAATTAACCAACCAGAAGGTTGTGTAACTAATTCCTCTATCTATAAATGTAAATTAGAACGACTTTAAGATAATCTTAGCGACCCTGACAAAGAAACATTACTTTGAAACCTGCCAACTTGCTAACATAAAGCCCATATAACAACACAGCAAAAACCCCATACATGAAGAAAAACTAGCTTAACTAGAAGTTGTACAGTTGTACTTACAGAAGTTTGTTCCATTTTCTCCTTCTTAAAAATAAACTGCAATGAAATTTTTTCAACAGGTCTGAGCTTCAAAAACCAGTCAATGAAAGAATTATAAAATGCATTTATATAGAGTTATATAATTCTAAGCACCTCCGCTCTTTTCGATTGTCTCTCGCGCTGAATTTTCTTTAGCTCTCTCTCCTTCCGCAAACGTTCATATTTCCAGCGGTGCTCTTCAATTCTACGGGCATTAGGTACAACCTATCATGTTTCAGAGATGCAAGAAAAGCTTTTGTGAACCTTTCACGTGTAAAGCAGGGAAATGAGAGAAAGAAGCAAAACCAGCACTGCTATACCTTTTTTAGCGCCTCATTGATTTCTTCATCAAAATCTATCCGTGATGCAACATGCAGATCACTAGCTGCCTCTTCCCATAGTCCTAACATTGCCCTTGCTATTCCTCGGACTTTATATCCTTTTGCTAAGTCGGGGTTGATCTTTTGTTCAAAATACTTAATCAAATAAATGCAGCATAAAATTGCAATACAAGCATTTGTATAATTGCATGATTTTCACATTCATTCAATTTAGTATAGTTTTTGTCTTCAAATAGCAGCACACAAACCTGTAAAGCAGCATTTGCATCACATATTGCAGCATTTGGCTTCTTGAGTTTAATAAAAACATTACCTGTGTAAGCATACCACTTTCTAAGAAAAATTTAAATATGCAGTAATAAGTAAAAACAAAAGGGTCATCCAAACATTTAGTTCAGATTGATTTTATGTGGTAGAATCACCTCTCATTGAATAAAATATTGAGGAAATTGGATTCAACAAAATAGCTTCTGTTAAATGATCCATGGCTTCATTCAGATTCCCTAACAGAAACACTTATCCATAAGCATATACATTGCTAAAGTAACAATAGAAAATAACACACAATATCTTAATAACAGTAATAGGTTAAAATATAAATACCCTCAGAAATTGCATCCATGGCTTTACCCTTCAAAATCTGAGCAGCATCTTGGTTTTCCTCTGTTACTTCTCTTGAAGGATCACCCATCTCCCATGGCACAAGAGACAAATTTGATCAATATGAAAAATGAAAATGCACACGTATGATTAAATTGCATCTTCAAATACACTGCATACCTTCTGGGGGAGATCATTGTCAGCCTCCACAACATCGGTACTATCCAATTCAACATCAGACTCAACTATACCTTCATCCATAGTATCATTACTTGAAACATTGGACTTCTTATAATCAGGAAACTCTTCATCATAATTTTCCTGTAGGATATTCTAATAAGTTAATTGTTTATACAAAATTTTAACACCTAGCAAGTCCCAAAGTAGGAAGAACAACAACAACAACAAAGCCTTATCCCACTAGGTGGGGTACATGACATGGATCAAACGACGTCATTGCACCCTATCATGTATCATATCTGATGTGAGATCATTCAAGCAAAGGTCCCCCCTCACCACTTCTTGCCAAGTCTTCTTAGGTCTACCTCTTCCTCTAGCCACATGTCTATTCACCATCTGAACCCTTCTCACAGAATGCTCAAACCACCTAAGACGAGTTTCCGCCATCTTTTTTCTACAATAGGTGTCACTCCAACTTTACCTCTCTTGTCTTCATTCTTTATTCTATCCATATGAGTATGACCGCTAGCATCTTCATTTCCGCTTCCATACAATATAGCTAGTTTAATCGCAGTACGGTAAAATTTTGCCTCTAGTTTTAAAGGTACTTTTTGTCATATATAAAGCCCGAAGCTATCCACCATTTTGACCAACTGGCTTAAATCCTGCTCGTCCTTTATTTCTCCATTGTCTTAGAATCTTGTTAAAAAGCTTAGTTATCCACCAAATGCCTTTTCCTCCAAAAGCTTCCCAAACATCAATCAGGATGTTGTCTGGGCACACTGGTCTGCTATTTTTCATCCGCTTTAGGGCATCCTTAACATCAATTTCTCAAATTCTCTGATAATAATTGAAGTTTTGGTCCTCCTCCCTCGTGTATAGCCGATCAGAGCATGAGAGATTTGAATGGACGTCATTAAACAGATCATTGAAGTAGCTCTTCCAATGCTCGTTTGTGCTTTCATCGAAGACCAAAACTTCACCAATGGTATCTTTAATGCACTTAACTTGGTCCAAATCCCGCACCCTTCTTTCTCGACCCTTTGCAATCTTCTATATACATCTTTCCCCTTCTTTTGTACCCAACGATTGGTTAAACCCTTCATATGCTCTCATTTTTGGTTCACTTACAGCCACTTTTGTCTTCGCCTCAACTATTTTATACCTTTCCCAACTTTCCACATTACGGCATAAAGACTACTCCTTGAAATGTTCACGCTTTACCTTTACCTTCTCTTGCACAATAGTGTCCCACCACCATAATTATTAGTCTCTTGCATTAGTTCCTTTAGTTTCTCCGAGGGTTTCTTTTACCACCTCTTTAATAATATCTGTTATATCACAACACAACTCTTCCGCATTTGAGCACTTCCATGTCCATCCCATTTTGCTTCTTCAACTATACGGCGTTGGAAATCCATTTGCTTATCACCTTTCAACTGCCACCATCTAGTCGTTGGGTTCCTCTCTTGGCGACTTCTCCTTACCGTTTAGTTCAAGTGTCTTATTACCCAATTCAGTTACTCCCACCCAATTTTTAGTTCTATCATAAGCCACACTTCCTTGATTGCAGCCCACTCAGCAAGCATTGTTTGCTACTGTGGAACCACGACTTCCACCCTACCCTCTACAACTACGGCCAGCCGCAGTCGACCTCCGCCACGGTCACCCCCCTTTGATTTCTAGTTCTCCAGACATGACCTTACATTGTAGCATTGGGAGGCTAAGGATTATGGTCGTAGGGTAGGCCTTTGTGGGAATGGTATATCCTTGTTTAGGAAATGATGCTTTAGCTTATTGTAGTAGGATGTGTGCTTGGTTCTCTTTCTCTCTCTCTTCTTATTTTCTTCTACTTGTTGATTTATGCTTACCAGTTGAACTGCACTAAAAGATATTATGTAGTTCAAGTAAAGACCTTATTAACTCAATATACTTTTTCTAATTTTCTGATGTGTGATACTTTAACACTCCCTTTATATGGCACAACAACAATAGTTCAGTTCAACTGGCCCTAGCTTATAAGTAACAAAAATTCTTGTTGTACACTATTGCTATGGGTGACGAAAGTGTCACAACTACAATTGTTCACAGCTATAAGTGTTGTCAGTGAAAAAGTCTTACTATACCCCTACGTAGGGAATAGTTGGATAAGCAAACTCATATTACTTGCTCTTATTTTTCAGATACACCTCTTCTACTTCTCTAACACGAAAAACAAAACAGATAAAAAAAAATCGTTTCCTTGAATTATATTACTAGTATCTACAGCCTTACAACAGTAGAAGTAGGTGGAAAAAGAACTAAATCTTACAGTTTTGATCTTCGGAGGAATTAGAGCTCCCATGCTGAAAATCAAGTTTTTCAATTAATTAAACGCGTGCTGGCAATAGGAGAAGGAAAAGTAGCAAGGAATGACGCAGAAAAAATACTCCAATACCTACCTTTCCAGATAGCTCTTAAAAAATGAAAGAGAAGGATTGTATAAAATTGAAGGGTTTGCTTTGCAGCGATCAACGAAGAGCTTTAGATCTTCCAACCTCCTTGCGTCCATCTCCACCTCTCAGGCAGTCTCTATACTTCTCCCTCGTCTAGCCGTCTATATATTACAAGCAGAACTAATAAAAACCAAACTAGATATACTTAGACCAATTCACTAATTTGAGGATTACCCGGCAGATAGTAAATAAGTCTATTATTTGGTTGGGAGCCTGATCCATAAAACTCGTAGGATGGATCATCAATTCTTGTTTTCTGCTTTAAACTAATTATAATTTAAGAGTCCGGTTAGAAATATTTCCTTAAACTAGAAATAGTTTAAGAGATTTCTTATCAAAAAGATTTGGCCTTAGATTAAAAATAATTTAAGATCACTCTTGAAATACTGAATATTGAATATTGTATATATGATGAAATGACTTGAATTAAAATATTGTGAATATCGTGGATGATGAACGCTTGAATTGAATATTATGTGCGATGGGAATTAGCCCAACAACTATGGCGGTGATGACAAATTATAATTAATAATCGATAAATCTCACAATATTTCTATTAATAAATGTATTACAGTGTTTTTTCCTTGCTTTACAATGGAGGGTTCTCCCTCTATTTATATTACCTAAGGTTAGATACATAATGGGCACTTATCATGCGCACAATTCTCGCCATTATCACTTTTCCATCAATCGTGGCGGGTCTCCATGTTTCCCTTAATCTTTTCACGTCTTTGCATGGTTCAGGGCCTTTACATCATACTTGGGCCAATTAACTAATATTGGGCCTTTCCCGACACCAGCCCAATTGCTCATGCGATTGGGTCGTTCAATCGTGTTCTCTAGGCCCGGATATCCATCAAGAGCCCCTTAGTTTCTTAGCGACATGTCGCTAAGGAACTACAGTTGTGCCGTGTAACGCCCCAAAATATACCCTAGAATTATTCATGAATAATTATTCAAGTAATCAAATTGTTTGATTAATAATAATAATAATAACTGTTATTGGGCTTTGGGCCGAAATGAAATATGTTTTAATATCCAATATCAAAATCTGGATAAGTCTCATAAAGATAAATCCAATATGTTGACTTATTATGTGACCTTACTTGAGAACCTGAGTACAGACCCAAATCAAAGATAAATTAAGAAATTTGTTTATGATATGAACTTTGAAATGATTTATTGAAATAAATCATGAGAATAAATAATATGAATGAAATGTAAGAACCATTTTGAGTAAAGGTCAATTAAATCAATTTTGACTCTGTCAAAGTCAACCACCCAAAAATATGATGTCGTAAAAAGTATTACAAATAAATATGAAAATTATATCGTTCGATAGAGTTTAATTGTACGATCACAACGGTGCAAACGGATTTCAATTCGGAGAAAGTTGGACCAAAAAGTGTTCCCCGACTAGGACCAAATTAGTCCCAATCAGGGACCTACGTTTGGAATTGTAGAGATAGGTCGTCCACTCCATTGAGACGCCAAAACAGGAGAATGGAGTCATCACCGTGTCTTCCTCCTCTTCCTTCTCCTATAAAAGACTACCACAACTCCCTCCATTCTTCACCATTTCTTACAAACTTTCTATCTAATCTGTTGCTCGGAGTGAGGAGAACGCAGTGGTGCTATCATATTGGTGTGAGGTCGCTGGAGAAAGCCACAATCCTCGCCGGAAAATCTTCAAAACCTTCATTTACCTTCGAAGTAAGCTCGTTGATATATCTAATGACTAGAATGTTCGTATAGATCGTTTATACGTTCATAAATGGTCGTTTGGTTGAGTTTTGTGTTTGACATGTTTGAAGAACTAAGAATCATAAACCTTGAATTTGATGTTAAGAATATGATTTAATGATTCTAAAATGATCTATGAACCTTAGAGAACATTTCTATATAGTTTAATTGAAGTCCGGTGACTAAAAACGGGTTTTCTGAAAAATGGACCGAGGTTGAAGATGAATGAACAGTAGCTGAAAAACTACTGTCTGGATCGATCACATGCTCTGGATCGATCCTCTGTGAGTTTTTCTTCTAGTTCTGATCCGAAAATTTGTCTGAAAATGCTATTTTTGAGCTCTAAAATCCTATTTTTGATACCAATTGATTATGATCATTATAAAAATGATTTTTCATAATAAAAATAATGTTTTTAACAAACTAAAATGATATGTGATGCATGACGGTAAGTTCCGGTGTTAACACCCGAGACTAGGCTGCTAATTGTTATTAAATGTTATGTTGAATGATCATTATGATGAATTATTATTGTGGCCAATTATGAATGATAAACCTACTGATTAGAATGATTATTGATGATTAAATCATGATTAAAAATGAAAATAATGGTGATCATGAAAACGGTGTATACTATTAAGGATATCTAGAAGAACTCTAAGATATGCCTACTTGTATATTGATGATGATTATTAAGGATATTTAGAAGAACTCTAAGATATACCTCCTTGACTAATTCATAGTTTGGGGTTAAAACGTACGTACGGGATCCAGAATGGATATCACCCACCCGACAAATCATTATTCGGTTGGTACGTAATCCACATGACTCATAGGGTGGATTATCGATTCTTGTGTTCTGCATTAAACTATTTATAGTTTAAGGGCATGGTTAGAATTACTGCCTTAGACTAGGAATAGCTAAGAGCTGAATATAAAATGATGTGGCCTTAGATTAAGAATAATTTAAGAGCGTTATTGATATAATGAATATCAAATGACTTGGAATAAAATATTGAGAATATTTTGAATGTTTGAACCATATATTGTGTGCATGATATCAAATGGTTGATTATGAATTGAGATTCAATTTATGTGGATGTTCGACGCTTTAGATAAGCTTACTCAGCTTCACCGCTGAGCGTGTAGTGTATTTTGTTTGCTACACACAGGTTAATAGAAAGACTGATGTGACATGATTCTGGAGGCAGACGAAGGCGAGATTGTCGGAATGGATGTGATGCTTGAATTAAAGAACATAAATAAATTATGTTTGTAATTATGATTTGTTAAGCTTCCGCAATATTGAAAATTTCGTACTTTTTATGATATGAAAAATTATTATTGTGATAAATAAAAGTGTTTGAAATGTTTTAAATTTTACGATTACCATGTTAATACTTTAGTCCAAAAGGGGCTGCAGACCTAGACGGATTAGGGTGTTACATGCCGCCCTTGGTCTGAGCGCTGGTTATGAAATGATTGCATTCCATACACTACTCTGAGTCATGCCGTTTGATTCCCGCTTTAACTCACTTCTCATTTTAGGAGCTGGTATTGTTCTCAACTCACCCCTAATTTCCTCTGTGAATTCTTCAATTTCTCGCGAAGATTTCCTGCATCATGGCTCAATCTGCTGAAATCGCTCACCTGGAACTCGATCCTTCCAAGATCAAGAGCTCCGAACTTGCTCTCATGCGCGATCTCCTAGGAGCGCCCTTCAAAATCCACCATCCAGACGCCGTTGGTGGGATTTCGTTGACCCACAATCCAGCGCCAGAACGTTTCCTGATGATGCATTACGACTTGGTTTTTCATGGCTTCAAGCTTCCTCTTCATTCCTTTATCCGTGAAGTATGCAGGAATTGGGATATTCTCCCTAAACAGTTTACGACCAATTCGCACAAGTATTTGGTGTCTTACATTCAGCGCTGCTGCGAGAAGCTTAGGACCCCTTCTGTGAGGGATTTCATGCACTTCTTTAGCCTCGAGGCGATTCCCCTTTCTTCAACCTTTACCCCAACCAAAAATACGTCCTTTTCACCAAATTAGAGCTGCGTATTAAAGGTTGGGAAGACAAGTTCTTTGTGATTGAAGCTCCTGCAAATCTGCCTTTCGACCTACCCACTGAGCCCCATAGAATCAAGCTTTTCCGAACCCCCTTTTCCAAAGGTTCCCAGGCTTAGAAAGCCTTTGAAGAGATGAAGGATGTTGATCTCATCAATCATGAGCGCATCTAGAACCCTAAATTGTTTAGGCAGGCCGGGTTCTATTTCTTGGGCAATCATCTAATAATTTCATTTAATTCTGCCCAAATCATCTCTCTTGACTCTGCTGCCAGCATTTCTCAAGACCCTATTTCTCCTGAAGGAACTGAACCTTTATTCATTGGCACTGCCCTTGGCGACCCCCTGTCCATCAACACTTCTTGTAACGCCTCAAAACCCGGCTTGCTATTTTTAATTAATTTATATAATTAATTAGTTACTAAGTCGGTAAAAATGAAGATTATTCTCTAATTTGCGTATTTAATATGAGAGTTGACCTACGTTGTAGGGCTCGCTGTTCTGAACCCAACCGTACGAACGAATTGAGAATCGGACTTGCTGGGCCTAAGATACGAATGCCGAGTAAGGTAATTGGGCTTAAATACATCCTGACTGGTTAGGAAGTGTAAACTGGACCCTAAAATTCTATTTAATTTTATTTTAAATATGAAGGGGTTAGGAGACTTACCATCCATCCGTTTTTTTCCCATTCGTGTCTCTGCTCTGCGTCCGTTTCTCCTTCGCCGTTCCGTCAGCCAGCAGCAGCGCCGCCGAGCTCCGCCGACGCCGCCCTCGCCGAACGCCCTAGCCGGCGTCGCCGCTCTCCCTTCCCCGTCGCACGGTAGATTCGGCTGCAACAGGGAGTGCAGCGGCGAGCTTCTCTCATTCGATTTGGTTCCTAATTCTTCAATAATTCGAGGTGATTCGTGATTCCTATACCTATAGTTGTCATTAATTCGTAGTTTAGGATCTTGTGGTAGCAATTTTGTGTTTGATTGTGAAATTTGTGGTTGAATGTGCATTAGATTGGATTGGGGTTGTGTTCTGTTTTCCGGCGATTCGACGGCGGCTCGCTGGCGGTGGCTACGGCTGGCGTACGGGCAGTTTCCGGCGGGTCCGATTTGGACCCAATTGGTTTGATTTGGATCCAATTGGTTAAATCGGGTTAATTCGGGTTTCAATTGGGATTGGTTTTTGTGCATACGGGTCGATTTAGATTCAATTGGGGCTGTCTGGGCAGTTGGGGCTGACCAGGTCGTGGGACCGACTGTCCGGGGTTTTGGGCCGGTGGGTCCAGCTGTTAGGCCGGCTGCATTGGGCCGTTGGGCCGGCAGCGTTGGGCCGGTTGAGTGGGGCTGCCTGAACGGGCAGCGGGTTGGGGCTGCCGGGTCGGTCCAGCAGGTTGTCGGCTGATCCGGTGGTGAATGATACTGCTCCAACGGGGGCAGCGGGCCCGATGATCGATTCCTTGGTCTCGACTCCGCGCAGGTAAGTTGGGTTAATTGCAATTCGGGTTGTTTGATTATGCATGACGGTAATCGCGGGTCTTTGGCCCGGATAGGCCGCTACGTGACTTGTTGTGAGTTGTGAACTGAGATTTAAATTAAATTGATCTTGTTGGTGAATATTGTGGATTATGAATGATAAATAGGAATTATGCCACCTAGTATAATTAGGCAGGCCTGAATTGGATTGACTTATTGAATCACCAATAAGATATGCTAGGAAGTGGCCTTTGCGGGGCGTCGTTGCACCCCCGGGGGTCTTGGGTTAAAAAAGTACGTACGGAAGTCCGCGACCTGTACGGGTGTTACATTTTGGTATCGGAGCATGTGGTTTTAAAAACGATTTTTTTTTGGGCCACGAATGGTCGTTACTCAAATAAATTCACGTATAACGTTACTTTTGTTTATAAAAAAAATGTTATCAATTTCAAAAAAAAAATAAGAATAATGTTATGAATTTTTGGAAAAAAAGGAGCTACTATTTTAACACATATTGTATATACATGTGTTGAGCATCCACAGCTTCACCGCGTCACTGTTCCGGGTGGTAATTTCTTAAGTTCTTGTTTGTTAATTGTTGCTTAATTTAGTAAAATCATAAATCGTAGAATGGATCCGAACGTGAACCTCAACTACAACCACTCCGAGGGAGATAGCGTGTCTCCCCAGCAACTTAATGCGAACCAGAACCAGAATGCCCCTCATCAGGAAGCCCCGCACGGTGGATTTGCTGGGATCCCGCAGATGGATCCTGCTCTCCTGATGCAGCTCATGCAACAAATGCTGATCATGAATCAGAACGCATTGGCTAGGCAGCTTGAGCCAAGGATTACTTTGGAGAGATTGAGGAAGGATGGTGCTGAAGAGTTCCTCGGGGAGAACATCGCTGATCCGTTGGTAGCGTTCCGGTGGCTGGAGCGCGTACGCCGCGTGTTCGAGAACTTAAAGGTCCCCGTGGGTGAGTGGGCTGATCTCGCTGTGATGTTGCTGCAGAACAACGCGTATGAGTGGTGGAAACGCACCTCACGGAATGCCGACCACCCTCCCCAGTTGACGTGGGAGTATTTCGATCACGTGTTCAGGGAGAAGTACATTCCGGAGTCTTTTGTTGAGGAAAAACGAGAGGAATTTGTGCACCTGGAGATGGTGACCATGAGCCTTCCGGAATACCGGCAGCTCTTTGATCACGAGGCAGAGTTTGCTCAAGATCTCGTGAATACTCCAAAGAGACGATGCGATAGATTTGTTAAGGGCATGCGCATGAACCTCCAGGAGGGTATGTCTACGGCATCTAGGCAAGACTTTGGCGTCATGTATGAGCAGGCTAAGGAGGTGGTCAGGACCCGTGAGGGAGCAAAGCTGGTAGTGAAGCAAAAGGCAAACAAGATGCCGGTTCAGGTAGCCAGTGCTGGTAAGGCCTATTCGGGGAAGAGACCTCTGAGTGGGTCTGGTATTCAGTCGTCCAAGAAAGCCAAGTCAGTACCAGCTCACTCAGTGGCATCCAGCAGCAAGACAAGGTCGTCAAAGCATCCGATGTGTGAATCCTGTGGGAGGAACCATCCAGGGGAGTGTTGGAGGAGTTTAGGGTTGTGCATGGGATGCGGACAGTCTGGGCATTACAGGAGGGATTGTCCTACTAATCCTGGTCTTCCGTTCCCCACGGCTGCAGCATCCACTCAGACGACGGCTCCCCGACCTGCCCAGAGTCAGCGTTCGACGGTCGGGTCACAGCCACAGCGACCCCCGCAATAGCGGCAGCCTCAGGCTGCACCACATCAGCAGGGCAGGGCTCCAGCGAGGACATACGCTATGCAAGGGCGTGCCGATCCTAATCCTGACGTCATACTTGGTATGTTTACACTCTTTGGTTCGGATTTGTTAGCATTGATTGACCTTGGGTCTACACTATCATATATATGTGTTCCTTTGCCTGCTAATTCTGTAGTCGCGAGAGGTCAGTTGGAGAGTCCGATGCTAGTGTCCAATCCCCTTGGGCACAGTATGAGCCTACATCACGTCTACCGACAATGCCCTTTGACCACGCGTGGGAAGATCTTTCTCGCAGATCTTATTGAACTTCCATACAAGGAATTTGACATTATCCTTGGAATGGATTGGCTTACCGAGCACCAGGCAGTCGTAGATTGCAGTTCAAGGACCGTACGGTTGAGAGCACCGGATGGAGACACAATCATGATCGATGGGGAGTTATTTCCTAGGCGCCTGAGTTTATCTCTTATATGCAAGCCAAGAGATTGGTCCGAAAGAAGTGTGAGGCATTCCTATGCACTGTGAAAGATGTACGGAAGGAGCCACCTAGCCTTAAGGATATTCCTTCCGTACGTGATTTTCCTGACGTGTTTCCTGGTGAGCTACCAGGTCTGCCTCCCCCAAGGGAGGTAGAATTCTCCATTGACTTAGTTCATGGTACGGAACCCATTTCGGCCACCCCCTATCGCATGGCTCCAGCAGAGATGAAGGAGTTAAAGGCGCAATTACAGGAGTTGCTGGATAGGGGATTCATCCGCCCAAGTGTCTCCCCTTGGGGCGCACCTGTCCTTTTTGTGCGAAAGAAGGATGGGTCTGTGAATCTTGGCATTGACTACCGATAGCTCAATAAGGTGACTGTTAAAAACCGTTATCCATTACCGCGCATTGATGATTTGTTTGATCAGCTACGTGGAGCCAGGGTGTTCTCGAAGATTGACTTAAGGTCCGGATATCATCAGATTCCAGTAAAGAAGGAAGACATACCAAAGACAGCTTTCAGGACGCGTTACAGACATTATGAGTTCACCGTAATGCCTTTTGGACTCACTAATTCTCCTGCTATCTTTATGGATCTAATGAATAGTGTCTTTCGGCCATACTTGGATCAATTCGTCGTGGTCCTCATCGATGACATCCTCGTTTACTCAAAGAATGCCGAGGAACATGCGTTCCACTTGCAAAAAGTATTAACCATCCTGAGGGAGCAGGAACTCTATGCAAAGTTGTCCAAGTGTGAGTTTTGGCTTGAGGGGGTAACTTTCTTAGGTCACGTGATCTCCGCTGAAGGGGTGAAGGTTGACCCGAGTAAGATTTCCGCCATAGTTGACTGGAAGGTTCCCCGTAATGCTAGGGAAGTGAGAAGTTTCCTCGGACTGGCGGGGTACTACCGGCGGTTCGTGAAAGACTTCTCCGCGATTGCTTCCCCTCTTACTAAAATCCTACGGAAGGATGTGAGGTTTGCATGGACAGACGCATGCCAGAGCAGTTTTGATCGGCTGAAAGAGTGCTTGACTAAAGCCCCGGTGCTGATCCAGCCAGAACCGGGTCGTGAGTACACGATCTACAGTGATGCATCTCTTTGTGGATTGGGTTGTGCACTCATGCAAGAAGGTAGGGTGGTTGCCTATGCCTCGAGGCAGCTGAAACCCCATGAGGGTAATTATCCGACTCATGATTTGGAGCTAGCAGCAGTTGTTTTTGCCTTGAAAATCTGGCGACACTATGTCTTCGGTGAAAAGATTCTTATATATACCGATCATAAGAGTTTGAGGTATTTGTTTACCCAGAAGGATCTGAACCTGAGACAGAGGCGGTGGTTAGAACTTCTCAAGGACTATGATTTCACCATCGAGTATCACCCGGGTAAGGCTAATGTGGTGGCTGGCGCCTTGAGCCGCAAGCTGATAGCTGAACTCCATATACAACCAACGTTGGATACGGAAATCCGGAATGCTCAGGAGGACGACGAGTTCTGTCGCATGACACGGGACCTTGTCTCTAGTGGGAAGAGACCAGATTTTACTGTTGGTGCTGATGGAATCTTGTTTTTCCGCAACCGTCTTGTGGTACCATGCGGGGCCGTGAGGGAGCGGCTATTACGTGAGGCTCACGAGTCAGCATACACTATACATCCGGGAAGTAACAAGATGTACCACGACTTAAAGGGGAACTATTGGTGGCCTGTGATGAAGAAGGAAATTTGTGAGTTTACAGCTCGATGCTTGACATGTCAGCAGGTCAAAGCCGAACATCAAGTACCATCGGGATTGTTGCATCCGCCTTCTATTCCTGAGTGGAAGTGGGAGCGTATCACGATGGATTTCGTGATTGGGCTGCCCTTGTCTCCCTGTAAGAATGATGCTGTATGGGTCATCGTGGATCGTCTTACGAAATCTGCGCATTTCTTACTTGTTCGACGGGATATGTCACTACAGAAGTTAGCAGAGTTGTACCTCCGCAAAATTGTTCGGTTGCATGGGGTACCTTTATCCATTATCTCCGACAGAGACCCCCGTTTCACTTCAAAGTTCTGGAAGGGACTCCAGCAAGCCTTGGGTACAAAGTTAAACTTGAATACGGCCTTCCACCCTCAGACTGACGGTCAATCTGAGCGTGTGATACAGATACTTGAGGACATGATGAGAGCATGTGTGATTTACTTTGGGGAAAATATGGAGCGATACTTGCCGTTGATGGAGTTTGTTTATAATAATAGTTTTCAGACGAGTATTCAAATGGCCCCATACGAGGCACTGTACGGGAGGAGGTGCAGAACACCAGTGTGCTGGACTGAATTGAGCGAGGCAAGGTTAGAAGGTCCCGAGCTTGTTCGTGAGACAGAAGAAAAGGTACGGTTCATCCGCAAGCGTTTGCAGACAGCACCAGATCGGCAAAAATCTTATGCGGACTTGAAGCGTCGGGAGATTTCTTTTGAAGTGGGGGATAAGGTTTTTCTTAAGGTGTCACCTTGGAAAAAGGTTCTACGTTTTGGAAAGAGAGGAAAATTGAGTCCTCGTTTCATTGGGCCTTATCCCATCACTGCAAAGGTTGGCCCCGTAGCTTATCAGTTAGAGCTACCACCTGAGCTAAACAAGATTCACAACGTGTTCCATGTGTCTATGCTCCGACGTTACCGATCAGATCCGACTCATCGGTTACCTGAAGGCGCGGTGACTCTGGACGAGAACTTGACCTATGAGGAGGAGCCGGAGCAGATTTTAGCACGAGAAGTGAAAGAGTTGAGGAATAAGCGGGTGCCTCTAGTCAAAGTCTTGTGGCGTAACCATGCTGTCGAAGAGGCTACGTGGAAGACCGAGGAGTCCATGAGAGTTCAGTATCCTCACCTCTTCTGCGATGATGGTTCAGGTAATTTCGAGAACGAAATTCTTTTAAGGGGGAGAGAAATGTAACGCCTCAAAACCCGGCTTGGTATTTTTAATTAATTTATATAATTAATTAGTTACTAAGTCGGTAAAAATGAAGATTATTCTCTAATTTGCGTATTTAATATGAGAGTTGACCTACGTTTTAGGGCTCGCTGTTCTGAACCCGACCGTACGAACGAATTGAGAATCGGACTTGCTGGGCCTAAGATACGAATGCCGAATAAGGTAATTGGGCTTAAATACATCCTGACTGGTTAGGAAGTGTAAACTGGACCCTAAAATTCTATTTAATTTTATATTACCATCCGTTTTTTTCCCGTTCGTGTCTCTGCTCTGCGTCCGTTTCTCCTTCGTCGTTACGTCAGCCAGGAGCAGCGCCGCCGAGCTCCGCCGATGCCGCCCTAGCCGAACGTCCTAACCGGCGTCGCCGCTCTCCCTTCCCCGTCGCACGGTAGATTCGGCTACAACAGGGAGTGCAGCGGCGAGCTTCTCTCATTCGATTTGGTTCCTAATTCTTCAATAATTCGAGGTGATTCGTGATTCCTATACCTATAGTTGTCATTAATTCGTAGTTTAGGATCTTGTGGTAGCAATTTTGTGTTTGATTGTGAAATTTGTGGTTGAATGTGCATTAGATTGGATTGGGGTTGTGTTCTGTTTTCCGGCGATTCGACGGCGGCTCGCTGGCGGTGGCTACGGCCGGCGTACGGGCAGTTTCCGGCGGGTCCGATTTGGACCCAATTGGTTTGATTTGGATCCAATTGGTTAAATCGGGTTAATTCGGGTTTCAATTGGGATTGGTTTTTGTGCATACGGGTCGATTTAGATTCAATTGGGGCTGTCTGGGCAGTTGGGGCTGACCAGGTCGTGGGACCGACTGTCCAGGGTGTTGGGCCGTTGGGTCCGTCTGTTAGGCCGGCTACATTGGGCCGTTGGGCCGGCAGCGTTGGGCCGGTTGAGTGGGGCTGCCTGAACGGGCAGCGGGTTGGGGCTGCCGGGTCAGTCCGGCAGCTTGTCGGCTGATCCGGTGGTGAATGATACTGCTCCGGCGGGGGCAGCGGGCCCGAGGATCGATTCCTTGGTCTCGACTCCGCGCAGGTAAGTTGGGTTAATTGCAATTCGGGTTGTTTGATTATGCATGACGGTAATTGCGGGTCTTTGGCCCGGATAGGCCGCTACGTGACTTGTTGTGAGTTGTGAACTGAGATTTAAATTAAATTGATCTTGTTGGTGAATATTGTGGATTATGAATGATAAATAGGAATTATGCCACCTAGTATAATTAGGCAGGCCTGAATTGGATTGACTTATTGAATCACCAATAAGATATGCTAGGAAGTGGCCTTTGCGGGGCGTCGTTGCACCCCCGGGGGTCTTGGGTTAAAAAAGTACGTACGGAAGTCCGCGACCTGTCCTGGCATCGCAGGGACAGGGGCTTCAACCCGCCCAAAGTGAATCTCTTTTGGGTTTATGAGTTGGCCCTTTTATAGCATCGCTTGGGGTGCCATGACTCAAAGTAGTTGATGTGGAATAAAATAAGGACATGATATTCAAATGAAAGGTGTTAAAATAAATATGTTTATTTAAGCTGTTTTTCTCCGCGATCACATGCTGTTGTTATTTGTATGCTAACGTGGTGCTATTCTGTGAGTTAATGCTAGCTTAGGTATATTTTCACTCAGCAATTCGCTGAGCGTGTAGTCGTTGTTGTTTGACTGCACGCAGGTAGGAACACAGATTTTGATGGGCAACTCGGAGGGCAGTGAGGTGGTGGTGCGGCGTGGATGGCTCCTATTACTTAAATAATTAAACTACATTATTTTATTTGGTTATATGGACTGTTGGACGTTACTTTGGTTTTATTATGCTTCCGCGACGTTTGGACTTGTTTTATTACTCCGATAAATTTTGGTTTGGTTTTGAACTCTCACAGATGAATTTTATAATTTATTCAGTTGATTTATTTTTTTTTTATAAATTATGCATGCGAATACCAATTTAGTAACAACCCGGTTCGCTAACCCGTTGGTTCGGGTTATGCGGGTTGGGGTGTTACACTTCTTCTTCGGTTCCAGATCTATCACCTCCCATTATGGTCTTCCAAAAGCCGTGCACTACACAAAAGCAGACATTTTTGCACTGTCTCAACCCAAGAGGCAAAAGGGTTCCCCCTTGAAGTGTAACACCTTAATCCGTCTAGGTCTGCAGCCCCTAAATATCCATGGATGATGGCCCTACAAGATATAGAGTATGGGCCTTGGTGCGCTGCACAAATACCTCTATGGATTTCTTCCATGAGTTCTCAGGCTTCCGCTTCTCTCAAACATCTAAGCAGTACCCCATTATAGGAGGGTATGTATAGGATTTCGTCCTGTACCACATAACTCAGTGCCCGCACTCTCAAGAGCTTGGGCTTCTGTGGATCCTTTGGGAGCTCCCCGTCTTCATTGTACTTAGCTAGTTTATCCATTTATTCGGTCACATTCGTAGCTACCCAAGCGACCACCTCCTTGGTCAAGCTCGGGTTCTCTATCTCTTCCATAGTGACCAACTTGCTGATGTATTCAGGGGATTCATCGCTTAGTTTCGACAATACATCAGCTTTAGTGTTGGATTCCCGAGGAGTGTACTGAAGCTGGTACTCGATCCCACTCATCATTTCCAAGGCATGATCTTTGTACTTCTTCATCCTTCCTTCCTTAGCCACGAATTCTCCATTGATCTGTCCGACAACAACATTTGAATCACTGAAGATTTGTATCTTTGTCGCTCCAAGTTCCCGGGCTACCCGTAACCCGTTAATCAATGCTTCATATTCAGCTTCATTGTTGGACACTTGGAAACCGAAGTGGATGGCATAATAGATCCTAAAGGCTTCCGGGTGGCCAACACAATCCCAGCACAACATTGACCACCATCCTTTCCCATTGTCCTGGGTCATCTCCAAGCGCCTAGTCTGCTCCCTATCTATACATTCATTCTGGAAATTAGTCAGAGCTTGCCCCTTAATCGATGGGCGAGGCTTAAACTTGACCTTATATTGGCTCAAGAAAACGGCCCACTTGATCATCCAGGATGAGGCCGCCGGGCTTCGGGAAAGGGAGGCCAACGGTTCACTCGTCAGTACATGCACCTGGTGGGCCTGAAAATATGGGGTCCACCTCTTTGCTGTCCAATAGACCGCCAGCATTGCCTTCTCTGGTTGTGAATACCTTAGCTCTGCATCCCGTAACGTCTTGTTGGCGTAATAAACCAGATGCTCGACGCCATTCTCTTCTCGTATAATAACTGTGCTTATTGCACAGTCTGAAATGGCTAAGTATAGAATCAAAATATCACCTGGCTCTGGTTTGTACAACACGGGGGGATTAGCCAGGTATCTCTTCAGTTCTTCAAATGCTTCCTGGCACTCCCATGTCCATTCGAATGTTGCCTTCGATCTTCTTGATTACAGTGAAGAAGGGATGAGCTTTTTCTTCCAGTTTGGATAAGAATCTGTTCAGGGCTGCCAACCTCCCGGTCAGCCGCTGCACTTCTTTGGTTATCTTCAGAGGTTCCATCACCAAGATTGCTTTCACCTTTTTCGGGTTTGCTTCAATCCCTTTTCGGCGCACCATATCCGCCAGGAACTTCCCCCTTGCACCGCTAAGGTGCATTTTTTGGGGTTAAGTCGGAGGTTCACCTTCATCATGATTCCGAATGCCTCCTCCAAGTCCCAGACGTGGTCTTGGCCTTGTCTTGATTTGACGATCATATCGTCCACATAGGCTTCCATGGTTCGGCCCAAGACTGGTCTGAAAACAAGCGATATCAACCGGGTATATGTGGCCCCAGAGTTCCTCAAACCAAAATCCATTACCAAGTAAAATACAAACCTTCCAGAGTCATAAAACTCATTTTCTCGGCATCTGCTGGTGCATCCGGATTTAGTGATATCCACTGAATGCGTCTATGAAACTCATTAAATCACATCCCGCAGTCTCATCCACCATTTGACCTATGTTGGGCAGTGGGAATGGATCCATCGGACAGGCCTTGTTCAGATTTGTATAATCCACACACATCCTCCATCTTGGAGACTTGGGTGCCAGGACAATGTTGGCCATCCATTCTGGGTATTGGACCTCCCGAATGCGTCCAATGCTCTGCAGCTTGGCCACCTCCTTCTTGACAAACTCTCTCCTTTCCTGAGCTAGGTGTCTCCTCTTCTGTTTGATTGGTCTGGCTTCGGGAAAGACATTCAGCCTGTGGACAGAAATTTTATGGTCGAGCATGGGCATGTCGGCCGGACTCCATCCCAGGTGAAGACCCTCCTGAAACTCTTGAGAACTACAATTACCCGGGCCTAGAGCTCAGCCCCCAAACCCTTACCTATCTTGATCGTCTTGTCTAGTTCAGTTGGCTCCAAGATTATGTCCTCTATATCTCCTGCTACTTCTACTCAGGGACGCTTCTCCTCTTCCTTCAAAAATTAAGAGGTCACTTCTCCCACCTAGGTGTCAAACTTGACAGGCTCCTTGGAGGCTTTGAGATACCATGCCCGGGATACCCTCTAAGATCCCCGAGCCACAACTATTCTGAATGGAGTTTGAAACTTGATGCATAAATGCGTAGGTGAAATTACGCATTCCAGGTCCTCCACACCTGGTCTACCAAAGATTATATTCGTACTACATACAATTCCCACCACCACGAACTCAATGTCCAACGACCTCTTTGCCTTAGTGTCACCTACCTCTAAGGGTAGGGTGTGAAAGATAACCACGGTTGGGAGGGCAGCGGAAATACAAAATTTTAAACTTCCAATAGTGGTTACTAGCCCAAGACCATGTACTGAAACTATAGATAGAGATAGAAACTTATACCTTCTCTGGTTAGCGGTAATCACGTTGAATCGGGGAAAGGCGTGAATGAGAAAACGTAGCCGTTCAAGCGTTCGGCCTCCAACTTTGACACACGAACAATCTCCGGAGTCTACTATAATTGTTATGCTAGTAAAGATTATAATAGTATATTTAATATAAAGATTTAAGAGGGATAATATTAATCTTGTATATTAAACAGTAGAAAATATATCAATAATATTTTAAAGAAAATATTATAATAACAATTTTCTACACCCAAACTTAATTTTGGAACCCAAAATTATTCTCTCTCTTGCTCCTTACTATGGCCAAAAATGGAGAGTGTGGTGTGTGTGTGTGTTAAAGTGGTTCCATTTTAATCAAATGATGAAACATAAACAATCACTAAAGGCCAAAATTTTTTTTGGTCAAATTCTCCTCCTCCACACATTTTAAAGTGGGAGACATGCTCCACTCATGCAAGGTATGAAATGGTGAGGGGGAGGAATTAAATTCTTCTTCTCTCAAATGTTTAAGGTGTATTTTATTTGACATCAATAATTCTTAAGGTATAAAATAAAATACTCAAAAATATACTTTAAAATAGTTTTGTCAAAATAATTATTTTCATAATTAAAATGACACTCCAAAATAAATTGTACACAATATAATATATGTATATAATATATATATATATATATATATATATATATAGAATATTAAAACATTTTATTTTACTATTTTACAATATACAAATTAAATATTATCCCTTTTTTATAATCCTACTCTTTAAATTGTCCAAAGTGTGTGACCAATGTAGGCACTTATAAAACTTGCCAGAGTATTGACTCTACATCAATACCATAAGTAATAAGCAGTATTTAGCAACACATTATTACCCCCAGATTATGAGTTCAGACGTTTGCTCCGTCAAAACCTTTCTACGACTAAGACTTTGTATAACGTAGATCCTTTTGTCCCAATGTCTTAACTTAGTGCAAGGGATATAAACTAACCAACTTGTAGCCATTAAGTTATTTACTGATTAATAAGTTTGACCGATTAGAATATATGTCTAAACTCATCTCAGCATGGCCATGAATTTCCTCAGTCATACTTATCAGTGGGCCCCTACAAGACATTATTCTGCTAAAATAGCACTGACAAATTCTTTGTACGTAATCTACGTCTTCGAATACGCGCAACGGCATGCCCAATACAAAGCCTGTGTACCATCCTTGTTTCATACGGCTTAGGACAATGAATCAAAGCATACGGGTTCACGCATTCGAAGAACGTAATACTTCAAGTCTAAGAATCATGATACCAATAGTCGCATTAAGGAAACTTAAAGCATAGACTAAAAGTCTAGGCAATACCCTTAAGCTGGGTCAGATCTGGCATCCTATTATTAACGATAATAGCTGCCCGAGAGTAGATGCGAACACTCCGTCATTGACCAGGAGACTAGGTCAAACATCTAACTCTCACTAGTCTCACACGCACTAACGATGTCCCACTCTTGTAAATGCTTTGACTATAGACTGTTTAGAATTATACTAAGTGACAAGATGTCAGTGTGAACATCAGAAGACTCAGGGGTTGTTTGGTAACTTCTGAATAGGTAAGTGCTGAACCAGTAAGAGGTCTGAACCATTAAGTGCTGAACCAGTAAGAGGTCTGAACCATTAAGAGCTAGTATATTGCTTAACTATTGATAAGTCCGTTTCGTTCTTATGATTTACATCATAGTCTAAATGTTATTGCACGTAAATGATATTTAATCATCTCATAAAATGTGATTTTGATGGATAAAACTCTCATTTTCGTTATAAGAGTCATAAATAGGGATTCCACATAAAATCATCATAAATTATCCATTTTATGTTCAAATGCTTGAGAAAAAGGGAATAAATCATCAAAGGATCAAGTTTCGGGCTTGAACGAGCTTCCAAGAAGATAAAATTGACGTTCGGGCCGAAAATCAGTGAAATTGGGCCAAGATCTCGTAACAGCCGCGAAGCCCAACGGACCAAGGCCTCAAGGCGTCCAACTTGGACGCTAGGCCAAGTTGGACGCTTGGAGTTGGACGCCTTGGCTGGATTGCAGATCAAGGAAGACACGTGGCAAGCAGCAAATGGACGGGCCGCGTAAGGCGTCCAACCTTGGACGCTTTGGATCCAGACGCTTTGACTTGCACGCCTCGGGCTCTGTCCTATAAATACAGCGCGATTCTCCCCATTCAACACATCACTTTCATCCCCTCTCTCGGGATTTGAGCTTATTATTACAATTCCAAACACTAGTTTATTATTATAGTAGTTTTAGAGTAATTTTTTGAGGAATTCTACTCCCGATCTGTTCTGTTCCGCTTTTATGGAAGTTGTAAGTTTTCTTTATTTAATAAAATGCTATTTTAATTTATGTTTGCATAGTATGAGTTAGGGTCCGGATCTCTGGGTCCGGACTAGTTTGATTGTTTATTTTTTTTGATGATAAATTAATGTTGGAATGGTTAATCTATTGTTCTTGCCTTATTTAGTTAATTAAACTCAAAGGATTTAATTAGCTATTTATTGAGAAAATATTGTATGCCAAAAGGCTATGATATTCAAGTGCAACGGATTAAGTACAAATCTAGAAATGGATGAGTAGTAATATAAATATTATTGTTCCAATTGTTAATTTAATATGATTAAATAGATCCAGATGATGTCTTGACCCTAGGTCCAGATCTATACTTATACTATGTAAACTTGATTTATTGTTTTTACTCTGCTCCCCTTTTTTATAATCGTTCCGAGAAGACTTTCATAAACCAGTCCTAATCTTCGCCTAATTAGAGTAATTAAACTAATCCCCTTCGTCCACTCCTCGAGAGGCACGACACTCGGAGAGAAAACTAACCCTTTACTCGGAAGGTTTACTACCCGAAAAACTACAACTGTCAAATGGCGCCGTTGCCGGGGAGTGGCACGGCATTAGTTTAATTTCTTCTAATTAGCTTGGGTGAAGATTTGTTGGAACGATCTTCTCACTTCTTTTTCACCAACCACCCGTAATAATTATTATGGATAACTCTAGTGGTTATTACGGTCCGCCTTCTTACTACCAATCATCCAACCGCCCTCCGTACCATCCACCTTACCACCCACATCAGAACCCATATGATGATGACTACCAAGTCGACAATGGGTCTGACTACTATCCTTACCATGAGGAACCACCACATGATACCCCATCTAGAAACGTTGGATATTCTCCATACCAAGATTCTGATGGGGATAGTTATTATGAACCTCATGGTGACCAAGATGACTATGACCAATTTGGGCCTATGTGCGACGATCAATCTGATCCACTCGTCGAAGAGATCATAAGATTAGAACAGAAAATTTTCTATTTCGACGAAGTCTTATTCGCTGAAGGCTCCTGGTACGAACCACCCTACTGCCGTGACTACACCCTTCTTGCTGAAGAACAAATTGAGGCAAACAAGGTGGCAATTCGAGAAAGAGCAAAACTTCTTGAATCAGTCCGGAAGGAAAGGGAGTTTGAAAGGTGATTATGCGAAGAATCAGAAAGGATGCAGAAAATGTTGAACGACTTCCAAAGAGAGAGACTAGAAGCCGAGGCTAAAGCTGATGAATTAGTCAATGATCTCTGTAAGGCTATTGAGCTTAAACGCTCCCTCCAATCTCAAAATCAAATGAGGGAGATTGATGCTCAGAAAGAGGTTCTAGAACCTAAGACCAACCCTGAACCATTCAATCAACAGGTTCCAGTTCTAGAAGATTCACCCAGTCCTAGCCAAGTCCCAACCAGCATAGTCGTACATGAGGTGGAACCAACTAAGGGACCTGACTCAGAACCACCTTGGCTTATTCAAGAAAAGAAGGAGGAGGAAGTTTTTCCTATGGCAATAAGCGACCATCTCCTTCATTGTGTTGAAGACACACCTCCAGAGGAATCTGTTCTGGAGGAAATAGAGCCCATTACCTGCCCCCAAGATATCAATGTCCAAGAGTCCGAGCAGGAATCTACAGGCAAGGAAATACTTTGCATAGAAAAGCCAACTCCGTCTATAGAAACCTGTGTACGTAATGCTTCATCTGAAGACGCAGACCAAACCTTCTTTGACTCCCTACTTGACGGGTGTGACAATATCTGCCCGAAGGATGGTTGGAGCTTAAGGAGTTGGGATGAACTTATAATGAGTGACATTGAAGACTCATCCATGGGGGAAGGCACGGTCATAATCATCAAACCACAAACAGATAGTGAGCCTGTCGAAGATAAGGAAGAAATCAATTTCGCAATCAAGGTTAATAATGAGGATCAACTGAGGAGACTTCCGCCACCACCCACCTATCTAGAGTCTCCTCCTTTTATCCTGTTGCCACCAAGCCGCAGGGATGAGTCAAGGATCCTGGACCTTGACTGAGTAACAAATCAAACAAGGTGGCACCAGAAGAGAGTCAGAAGGGCCAAACTTTATGACTCTCGGATTGGAAAGTCGCGGAAAAAGTGGGTGAGCGTCGAGCTACGGACGTTAAAGAAGCGCTTAACGGGAGGCAACCCGTCATTCAGATAATTAAATTATTAAATATGCTTACTTGTTATTTACTTGCCGCACCATTTGGGGGCAAGATTTTACTTGTTTTACTTTTCTATTTCAAATGGATGTTGCTTGGATGATCCCGCATGGAAACCGCCGCACATTATAGAATCTGGAAGAGCTCCCCTTGCACTCAGGAGAAGCAAAGAAGAAGTTTCTCACTTGGGGAAACACGAAGATGCTCCAGCCTCCCATGGTGCTGGACCCTGCCTATCTGGATGAACTTGGGCACTGGCAGGACATAGATGAATTGCTGTACGACCCAAAATGGAGGATCCTGCTATTCCTGCATGCACCAGCCATCCTGGAAGTCACCATTGAGTTTCTTTGCTCTCTCCGCTTCCTCAATGACGGAGAGGAAGTAAAGTCAGCAGTTGAAGTCACCTCCACCACCAAGGTCACGTTCACTCTGATGGGACGACTGCTGAACCTTACCGTGGCAGACTTAGGGTGGCTGATTGGTCTTTACACGCTTGATGAAACGCGGAGCCTGGCCTTCGCTAATCTGCCCGACCAGTTGGATCCAGAATTCGATGCTAGAAAGTTCTGGCAAGCTCATGGGCATGGTCGATTTCACAGTGGAGCAAGCTTAGCTAGGAATAAGGCATGACCGTCTTGGAGGATTTTGCACCATGCATTGGCTCTTAGCTATTTCGGCCGCTCTCAAGAACCTGACGTTGTGTTTAATTCCGATATGCTATTTTTCTCGAGTCTGGAAGCTCGCGTTCCAGTCAATCTAGCGACTTTTGTGGCTCGATTCCTATTTGCTCAGTCAACTTGCAACCACCAGTTTGTCTTGTGTGGGCCAATGGTTACGCTTCTGGCCCGAGGATTATGTATGTCTGTTCCCAATGTTCTTCCAGAAGCTGCAAGCATGTTCCAACCACCGACACAGTATTTGGCCCAGATTGTTTATAATAAGGAAGGCAAGGAGGCACGTCCTAGAAGGAAGCATACGATTCCTATGACCCTTCGCGAGCTTTCGCAAGCTATGTTTGCATTTCAAGACTCTTTAGAATCTCGCTTAAGGAGCATGGAGACGCTCCTTCTCACGCAGCAGTGGCAGGTGGAGGAAATACTTGACTACGTCCGGGAAAAGGGAACAAAGAAAGCCGAGCATGGGGCAGGTCCTAAACAAAGCAAACGTCAAGGATAGTGAGATCCTTCATTTTCCTATTACTACATTCAGAACATTAATTTTGGATATTTATATGATCTTACGTTAGAATTCTTCTTTTCATGACTCTTAAGACCAGTTTGAGAATATTTTATGCATTATTTCATATTTTCATGTTATGATTATCTATTATTTCAATCATCATCATTGAATCTTGTAAGTATTTAGATAACTTAGTAATTGCATGTGAGCATTTCAACCATTAACTCCAATTCCAAAATACTTTTAGCCACGAGGGCGTGGTTCCGTTTAAGTGTGAGGAGGTAAGAGTTCCTGGTTGAAATGATCTTTTTAGGAATTGTTTTGTCTATATATTTTTAGGAAAATATTTTTATAGAATGGTCATCAATTTTATTTGTTTGATTAATTACTCTTTAGTTATCACCCGTGGAAATTGGAAATTTTTAAAATTTTTGTCAAACTTCTATTTTTACTCTAACCTTTTGGGAATGTTTTCTAAAATGATTTGGGACAAATTCACAATTCTCTAAGAGTTTTTAAGATCAATCAATTTTAAGTGCTTTATTGAAAATATTTTTGCTGGTGCTTTTAGGAGTATCTGTTGTTTCTTGAAAAGAGTTATTTTCAAGGTATAAGGGGTAATGTTTCAAAGTATACTTTGATGAGACCGAGATTCTTGTTTTAGCCAAAAAGCAGTTGGTTCTAGGTCAACTGATGAGGCGTGGTGAGTATGCCGAAAAGCACGTGGTTCTATATTGCGTGATGAGGCCTTTTGAGTGTTAGAGTCAAAAAGCATGCGGTTCTATGTCGTGTGATGAGACTTTCCAGAGTGAATATCCAAAAAGCTCGTGGTTCTATGTCATGGGATGAGGTTATAAATTTTTTCTCGTGTCAACATGACAAAGTTATGCCAAAGAAAAATTAAACCCTTACACTTTGACAAATACTTTTGCAAGAGCATGTTTTCCGATTTAGCCATTAAAAAAAATTATTTGATCTTTAAAGTACTCTTACAAATGTAGTTATCCCAAAGAAAGTTTGGAAAATTATGGTTGTTTAGGTTGGTGTAAAAATATTAATTTGACAAAATTCTTTTACATTTCTAACAATATGGGTGAGAATCTAAAGGTTCATTTATTCTTAACAAAAAGGTTGATGGCTATCTTATTTCTTCTTTCCTTCATAATATGTAGCTTAAACCTTGCCTCTACAATTATTAATTTGCCTTCATACTTGAAACTATTCAATTTGTTGCTTGAGGGCAAGCAACGTTTAAGTGTGAGGAATTTGATAAGTCCGTTTCGTTCTTATCATTTACATCATAGTCTAAATGTTATTGCACGTAAATGATATTTAATCATCTCATAAAATGTGATTTTGATGGATAAAACTCTCATTTTCGTTCTAAGAGTCATAAATAAGGATTCCACATAAAATCATCATAAATTATCCATTTTATATTCAAATGCTTGAGAAAAAGGGAATAAATCATCTAAAGATCAAGTTTCGGGCTTGAACGAGCTTCCAAGAAGATAAAATAGACGTTCGGGCCGAAAATCAGTGAAATTGGGCCAAGATCTCGTAACAGCCGCGAAGCCCAACGGACCAAGGCCTCAAGGCGTCCAACTTGGACGCTTGGCCAAGTTGGACGATTGGAGTTGGATGCCTTGGCTGGATTGCAGATCAAGGAAGACACGTGGCAAGTAGCGAATGGACGGGCCGCGTAAGGCGTCCAACCTTGGACGCTTTGGATCCGGACTCTTTGACTTGGACGCCTCGGCCTCTGTCCTATAAATACAGCGCGATTCTCCCCATTCAACACATCACTTTCATCCCCTCTCTCGGGATTTGATCGAGCTTATTATTACAATTCCAAACACTAGTTTATTATTATAGTAGTTTTAGAGTAATTTTTTGAGGAATTCTACTCCCGATCTGTTCTGTTCCGCTTTTATGGATGTTGTAAGTTTTCTTTATTTAATAAAATGCTATTTTAATTTATGTTTGCATAGTATGAGTTAGGGTCCGGATCTCTGGGTCCGGACTAGTTTGGTTGTTTATTTTTTTGATGATAAATTAATGTTGGAATGGTTAATCTATTGTTCTTGCCTTATTTAGTTAATTAAACTCGAAGGATTTAATTTGCTATTTATTGAGAAAATATTGTATGCCAAAAGGATATGATATTCAAGTGCAACGGATTAAGTACAAATCTAGAAATGGATGAGTAGTAATAGAAATATTATTGTTCTAATTGTTAATTTAATATGATAAAATAGATCCAGATGATGTCTTGACCCTAGGTCCAGATCTATACTTATACTATGTAAACTTGATTTATTATTTTTACTCTGCTCCCCTTTTTTATAATCGTTCCGAGAAGACTTTCATAAACCAGTCCTAATCTTCGCCTAATTAGAGTAATTAAACTAATCCCCTTCGTCCACTCCTCGAGAGACACGACAATCGGAGAGAAAACTAACCCTTTACTCGGAAGGTTTACTACCCGAAAAACTACAACTGTCAACTATTCAGAGGTAAATGTCTGATCAATTAAGATAAGAGGTCTTAACCATTCAGACTGTGTATAATACTTAACCATTCAGAGGAAAATCTCTTAACCATTTAGACATCTGAACCATTAAGAGGCTGAAACAAACAGTCTGAACCATTAAGTGCTGAACCATTCAGACATCTGAACCATTAAGAGGCTGAAACAAACAGCCCCTCATTCTGATAAACATCTTATAATATAATTCTAGAAATGCAATTAAGAGTTTACATTAGCATGAGATATTTTTAAACGTATTACATCTGTGTTTACATGATAGAAAATATCTAAGATATTACAACAACAATTGGCCATAAGGGCAGCAACTCCAACAATCTCCCACTTGCACCCGGCCCGGACCATAGCTTCTTCAAAGGTGTCCAGGGGATGGGTCATCAGATCCGTGTGGAGAAGCCTTTCCTGAAGAGCGGCAGTAAACATCACCATAAGATCCTTGTCGTCGGCACCTTCTACTTCCCTGGACTCCTTCCTCCAGTGTGCTAGGAAATTCTTCAAAGATTCCTCGCTTTTCTAATGTATGGATCCCAGGTGCGTGAAATGTTTCTTCGGGCAGCAGTTCCCAGTAAAATGCTCCAAGAAGCGCAAGCCCAATTGGTCCCAGGTCCGGATCGACCCGGATGGAAAATGGTTAACCCAATCTGCCACCTTACTATCGATGGTTTGGAAGAAACATCGGCACATTACGGCGTCCCTTGTGGTGGTCCCAAAAGTGGTGAGATACAAAGTCTAGAGGGGGGGGGGTGAATAGACTTCGTTACAAATTTCAAAATCTTTTTCGTTTCTTTTGAAAACGTGAAAATGAGTATTAATCTAAAGTTCTTGTGAACTTAGATTGTGTGCGGAAGTTGGTGGGTTAATGGAGCAATAATCAATATGGATGGGTTAGTTTCACAGTTAATATAAGTGCAAGTTTAAGTAAAGATTAAAATAGAGAGAGACACGCAAACTTTAACGAGGTTCGAAGGTGGGGTAATCCTTCTACGTCCTCAAAATCCACTATGTAGTGGGTTGTTGAATAATTAACGAACAATTACACTTTTTTGAATTTCTGCACGGTATATCTTCGCAAGGCCAATGTTGCTACTGCACTCGTGCTGGCTTTGTTGTTCCTTTGAAGGTCACGCTTCTTCAACAACTGCAAGATCCGAACAATAGGACTTGCAAGATCAACTTTAAGAAAATTTGATGTGCCCCGTTTTAATCAAGAAGTTTGATTAAAAGTTGTATCCTTCAACGTGGTGTGGTACTTGAGGCAAGGAAACCTTCAAGTGTTTACACTATAGCTCTTTGGAAGAAAGAGGAGTTTGCTTCTGGATAAGGAGTTTAGAAATCTCTCTTTATCAAGCTTTTTGGCTAACTCTGAAAATTGATTGTGTTATTCGTCTTGTATCTCCAGTCTTCCATGGATGCTATATATAGCTGGATGGATAATCTATCCGTTGAAGGGAATAAACTATCCGTTGCATTTGCTGGCTTTAATTTTGAACGAAGAGTGAGATTGAGGATTCTTCATTGGAATGGGTGTTTGGACATACCCAACTGTTTGAGAAAGGATTCCTTTTTCACAAAATCCGTATTTTAGTTGTTGTTCAAGAATTCTAGACTGTATCACTTTATTGAGTGGAGTACCCATTTTGTCTACTTGGGTTTGTTTAGGAATTCTGGGCGAGCTCTTCAATTTGTGAAGTTCAGACCTTGTCTTCAAGTCATTTTTTCTTGAATCAACTTAATTATCCTCAATCTAGCAGTTGAAAATCAAGAATTTGATTTTTCCTTACCAACGGGTAGACTTTCTTCATTCATGACTTAGATAATTTTCTAAGTCTTTTCTCACTAGTCTGTATCTAAGAGTTTCGGTCTTCCTTGAGACATCCGGTTCTTGGCTGACGATTCCGGATTAGTCATACTTAGATTTCCGGGTGAGAACGAGATCCGCGCTAGTCTTCCGATCCGGATGACTTAGCCTTCAGCGGGTTGTAGTGAGACTTCCGGGTATAATGAGCATTCCGGTTTTGAGAATTCCAAAGTAATCGGTCTTCTTTGATAATTCCTTACTTGTCTCTGACATTTCCGAGCAAGATTTCCAATTTGCATATCACTGAATTTGATTAAGTCTTCAAGGAGTAACATCAAACCACAAAGTGAAATATCACACGTTTTATTGGAAATCTCAAGAACTCGGTTTTAACAATATTTCTAAAA